CGTTAACGGGGGTTTCGGGTTCTGGTAACCAGATGGGTTTTGGCGTTGAGGGCTTTCCTACGGGGGTTACTTCAGGAGTAGGAGGGATTGCGTCTAATTTGGGATCAGGGTTCCGGGTGTAGATGCGGTAAGACCTGAAGAGCCCGCGAGGTATATTTCAGAACTTCCTAAGCTGAGTCAGTCAGATCTTGCTAACTCTGCAGTAGTGTGCGGGAATTGGTTGGCGCAAGTCCGGCAGATAATGGTTGGTTTATCTACGAGCGCATCAGTATGGTGGAGTGGAGTAGGGGGACCAGCTACTGCCGCGTACCGTCGATGGTTGGTTGCAGACCCCCTAGGCCGTAGCATCGATCCTTCTACGGTGGTTGGTGAATTTGACCGACATTTGTATGGAAGGGTGGAAAGTAGATCCGTTAGCCTCGGATAGTGACGTGTCTCCTAAAGCGGGAGCTCCGGGTAAGGGTGCTGGTTCTGCTAAGAGTAAAGCAAAGGCCAAAGCCGGTGCTCAGGCGAAGGGAGTTGTGGAGGATACCGCCTCGGCAACTGAAGCTGGGGGTGCGAGTGTCAATTCGGTTGCAACGGGTCCGCCCACGTCGCTAAGCCCCGAAGCACTGGTCGCAGAGGCTACAAAGTTGCTTAAGGGCGTCTCGCTAAGGGCACTTAGGGTGGAACAGGAGGTTGATGTCTCATGGATACGCAGTGCTTTGGTTAGCGCGTCGGATCCCAACTTCTGCTTGATCGACAGCGGGGCGACTAATGCCTTAAGGCCAGCAGAGGCTGGAGAGGCTGAGGGTTGCCGTTCCATTAAAGTGGACCTGGCGTCTGGGGGAACGGAGTTGTTGATTAACCAGTGTGGTACTCTTCCTCATAATGGGAATTGTCAGGTGATTCTTCCTGCGAGCTATTTGGTTAGCTTGGGTTATAGTATCAGCTGGAAACGAGGGGTATGTAAGGTGAGACATCGCAAGCATGCAGCCCTGGAGGTTACTGTGGTGAAGGGTTGCCCTTTGATCCCTAGGACGGTAGGTCTTCGGTTGCTCGAGGACTACGAGGAGCGTAAAAGGGGAACCCCACTTCTGAGCCAGTTGGAGGTTGAGGATTTGGTTCAGGGGGTTCCAGCCAGTGAGGCTCGGGATTGGATTAAGGGAAGGATAGGATTATGGGGATCGGCTGGACTATCAGATGTAGACCAGCTAGTGTACCTGAGGTCTCTTTTTCCGGGGGTCCCGTTTTCAGTGTTGGCTAGGGCCTGTGCCCCTGTGCTCGGGGAAGACCAGGAGGATTGGTCAGAGTTGCCGTGGAATCGTCGGCTTCGGCGTTCAGTTACGAGAGCCTCGGTGGGTTCGGTGTTAGTGGCAATCCAGCCTTGTTCCGTATCCTGGAAAGGTAAGGGCAGGGTGCTATCGGTTGCGGATACAGAACGGGGCTTGGGATCTAGACTGGTCTTTCGGTTGTTGCTGAGGTGGGCGCATAGCGGGCTTATTGGAGGTTTGGTGAATGGGCCCTCTGAAATTCCCTCCGCCGGGGAAGGAGCTGGCTCTGAAGACGGGCTGGTAAGGACTTTAAGGTTGTTGCTTCTGTTCTCGGTTGCACAGGCGGTGCGGGATCAGGTGTCGGTTGATGTTAGAAGCCATGAATCCCAGGGGTCAGGGCCTGGGGCACGGGATGAGCCATTGAACCAGGTTTTCTTTGCCATTGATGGGGGACTACTGGGTTGTTCTGGGGTTCCGAACAAAGGGGCCTGGTGGGTGATGGGTTTGTCCGTGCCTATGGGTTGAGTGTTGCTTCGGTCGACCAGTTTGAGGAAGGTTTCGCAGGGAACAGGAGGGTGTCGATAGTCACTAGCTCTTGGTTCATATTTGAGAATTTACATGTGAATCAGGTGACCGACGGGGCTAGGCCTTCGGGGGTTGATTCTGTGGAGGAGTCCGGGTTCCCTGATGTAGGTAAGATGGGATGGACTAGATCACTCTGGAGGGAGATACAAAGGGGCTGGGTTATGTGGAAATGGGAGCAAAGTAAGCAGGAGGAGGTCTATGAACGTAGGGTTATCCTTAGGAAGCTTACTGAGGAAGAATCCTATGCTCGCCATGTACAAAACGACCATACCCCCTACCGAAAGGGTTGCCCTATTCGTATAAAGGCCCAGGGTCGGCAAAGATCACATTGGCGTTCGGGGTTCCCGGGTGTACATTCACTAAGCGTGGATTTAGCGGGTCCGTTGATTGCGGGTCAGTCTTGGGATGTTGAGTCCAGTGGCAGAGATAAAGGGGGTGGGTATAAGTATTTTTTGGCGTGTGCTTATACCATTCCTGGCGGGTTTGGGCCTGAAGCGGAAAAGAAGTCAGGTCATGAGTGGGAGGATGTGGAGTGCGGCCATCTTGTACCAGAATCAGAAGATGATGGATGTGGGGTGGGCCCTGTTCCGTGTTTGGACCCGGAGGATAAGGATCTGATGGATGAGTTGGAACAAATCCGCTATCCCTTGATGAGGTTAGGCTTAAGGCTATCACTCGCCGATTTCGCTCTAAACGTCCTGAAGAAGTGGAGCCGGAGAGTGACTCTGGGGATATTAGCATTAGGGGCCGTAAGACGCTTTTTGTTGGGGTTCCATTGCGTACCAAGAAGGGTCGCGAGGTGTTGCACCAGATCCAAGGTATTATAAACAAGTTTGAGGCATCAGGCTTTCCCATTCAGCGCTATCATGCTGATCGAGCTAAAGAGCTTCGCAGCCATGCTTTGATCAGTTGACTTAAGAATAAGGGCATTCATGCGACTTGGACGGCGGGGGAGGCCCCGGCGGCGAACCGGGCCGAGCTTGGGGTTCAGGCTTTGAAGGCGTTCGTCAGAAAGCTACTGTTCATTTCGGGACTGGGAAAGGAGTTTTGGCCCTTGGCGTTGTTGCATGGCTCGGCGAGGAATTGGTGTAATTTCTGCGAGGGGGCGTTCCTCAACTTCCTCTTTTGCCTTTTGGTCTGAAGGTGCACGCGCGTAGGCGTACGCGAACGGGGTATGCAGCGCAGTGGGAGTCTCGTACAGTTGAAGGTATGTATTTGGGGCCCGCTCCTAATACTCCTGGCGGCCACTTGGTGTTGGTTCCCGAGGACTTTGGGGATTCCCGACGGGTCTTGCTTACGAATACTGTGTACCCTTTGCGGGGACAAGCTGACTCGGTCCGTAAACCTAAATACCGCCTGCGCCTGAAGCACTCACCGCCGTTCGCGCTGCGAGTTGTAGCAGCTCAGGCAGCGGCGGGATCAGCAATCGGTTCTTTTTCCATGTGGGCTTCGGGCGCACATGGGGGGAGTCCTCTGGTGATGACGATTGTTGGGATTCGAAAAAAATGCGTGTGATTCGGATGAAGGTGATGATGTTCATGGTGGATGGTTCCCAGATGAAGGGGGTAAGGTAGCCTTAGGACCTTGGGGTGAGGATGTTTGGGATCTTCAAGATGAAGTTAACCAAGGGCCTGAGGACCGAGGAACCGAGGTCGAAGAGTTTCTTGATCTGGAGCCAGTTTCGCTTAAGGGTATTAAGGGTGAGGCTAAGAGCTGGGTCCAGGACAAGGTAGATAATGGGGTTTGTTCAGCCCAAGAATGCCTTGAGGTGCTCGAAAAAGGCCTCTTTGGGATCCCAACGGTTCGAAGGCCCATCGTAAAGGGACAGGGGAAAGCTGTATTGTTGGGGTTGTATGGGCTAGGGGGGTTTAAGGGTATCTCCCGAGCTACTTTGGAAAGCGTGGAGGTTACACGGTACCTGAACAGGTTCATGCAGCTTCAATGCCCGTCTCATGTATGGGCCGCCCTATATGTATCCCGTAATACTGTAATGCCTTTGCACCGAGATCTTGGGAATGCTAAGGGTTTCGATATACTGGTTCGGGCTGTGGGTGATTTCGTAGGAGGTGGCCTGTGGATTGAAGGGGTCTCAGGAGAGGGTCCTGTATGTAAGGAGCTGCCCAATGGTAGATTGTGCCCGGGGGAAGTGCATGACATAAAGAAGGGACCAGTAGTGTTTTCCGGTGAAAGGTGGCATGTACCGGAGTCCTGGGCCGGGGAGTCTAGATGGGTTATTTCGGCTTTTGTACCTCGGGACTTGGATGGTGTTACTGAGGATCAGTGGGATGTTCTTAAGGATTTAGGTTTTCCGGTTGAGGGTGTGAGAGGTAAACACGTCAAATCTGCTGTAGCCTCATTGGACTTTGCAACGAAGGAAGTGTGCTGGGAAGTAGCACTTCCGACTCCCTTTTGGGAGACGGTTCAGCCAAGCTGGGATTGTCTGCATCAAGGCATTGCTCGCTTGTGCAGGTTTTCAACCAGCGAGTTGTGTGAAGCGGTAGATGTGGAGAACGGATTTTTTGAATCCACGGTTCAGCTTAGGCATGCAGAGACGATGTGTGATTGGCTAGAGCAGGGGTTGATGGGTTTTCAGGATGGGATTAGAGTAGGGGCTCTTCAAGTTGAGGTTCCTATTGTGGACAATGGGGCTTCGGATCAGTTCCTTCAGACCAGAACCGTAGGTTTAGCGGAGGCCCGTAGGGAGCTCCCGATATGGAAGGATCCTGCTCAGGATGAGGTCACTAGCCTTGAGACTACCAATCGGGCGGTTGATAGGGTTAAGATCTCGGTTGTTGACAAGTGGGCTAGTGAAGGGATCACGGTGGTTCAGTTACCGGGTAAGGTGGTTCTGACAAGGAAGTCGGGTACCGGAAAGCGCCGGTGCCGCGCAGTTTGCTGCGGCAATTACTTGCCTACTGATAAGCTGGGGTTGACCAGAGAAGACCTGTACGCCTCCGGGGCGGAAGCATTGTCAGTGAAGGTGGCATTGACGTTTGCGGCTCGCTTTCCGTGCTGGGTAGGAGTTACCATCGACGTGAAGTCAGCTTTCCTTTACGCCCCTATCCGTAGCGATTACGAGGGTAAGGAAGAGAGGATAGTGGTTAAGCCAAGCCAGTGACTTTTTGCGGCATCGAGTTGTCCCGGGGGCAGGAAGGTTATCGGATGACACAACGAGCGTACGTGAAGGAGCTTCTTAATCGCTACGAGATTGATACCGAAGCTAGTGTGCCGATCAATAAGTGGACAGAGCCCGAAGGGGCCGAGGCGGCTACTATTGATCAGATTCGGGAAGCGCAAGCTGTGACAGGTGCACTGTTGTGGTTGGCGACTCGCACGCGACCAGATATTGCATATGTTGTGGCACGATGCGGGCAACAGGCGACGAAATCGCCGCTGCTCTCAATTGCGCTGGGTCGACAAGCCCTTGCCTACTTGAAGACGACGATCGACATGGGGATCGATGTGCCTTTCCAGCTCGGGGATACTTTTTCGAACCATGAACTTCTGTCACTACCTCGCAACGACCGCGTGCTGGAATTGTATACTGACGCTTCCAACAGCCCTGGAGGGGAATGCTCTATGCAATCGATTTTGTTGTGTGGCGTAGTGTGCCCTTGGCGTGGGAAGTGACAAGACAACCGTTCGTAACCTTGAGTAGCGCTGAGTCGGAGCTTGTGGCTATGGTGGTGGGCATTCAGAGGGCGGACGCCATCCAGCCCCTCATTGAGGAGGCCGTTGAGGCGGACTTGGTAATTTCACTATTAGCCGACAACGAAGCAGCGCTACGAAGCTTTGAGCTGTCGCCAAGCGGCTGGCGTAACAGACACCTTCGTATCAGATCGCACGCTGCTCGAGAGCGGATCTCTTCTAATGTATTGAGGGTGTCCCATATGCCGGGAGAGCAGTTGGTGGCGGATTTAGGAACCAAACCCCTAACCCGATCCCGTATCCTTAAGCTCCTCAGTCTCATCAATATAAGGATAAGAGGGATTTCTGAGGATTCCGCTCAAACGGCTAGGGTGCTTAGTCGCTTGTGCCTTGAAGAGAGAGGTTCAATGGAAGACTTAGCAAAAACCTTGGCAGGTCTGGCACTTTTGGCTATGCTACCCTGTGCGAAGGGCCAACCGTTGGGTGATCGGCGTGGTTCACGTGGTGGCCGTGGTTCGCGTGGCGGCCGTGGTGGCCGTGGAAGGGGACGTGGTGCTCCTGACCAGCCAATGAAGCGGCCAGCTGCAGCTCAGCTGAAGGCAGAAGAGACGGAGGCTGAAGAGTCCAGTGGGAATGTACCGGGATTGGCTTCTATGGGCCGTTGGGTGCATTGGGATTGCTTTGGCTATGCTCTGGGGTTGGTGGTACCTTTATGGGGAACCTTGGAGGGTTGAAGGTTGCAAGGTTGCCGAGGGCACTTCAGCCGGTAGCAGTGCGGTTGAGACCGAGGGGTCAGAGGCCTTAACAGAAGCCCAGGTCGAGGAGGAAGCTTTCGATTCGGGTTCGGGGCTTGGGTCCTTGGAGGATTGCGTTGAGCAGCCAGAAACTTCGGACCTGTGTAGGGGAGAAGTAGATGGTGCGGATGATGTTTTCAGTGATGAAGAGTGGGCGCTAGCACAGGCAAAGCTTGAATCGATGGAGAGGGAGACGGGCCTTACGCTAGTGCAGAGGGCTAGGGTTAGACGGGCTTTGGAATCGGGTGGGGTTCTAGAGCCCCCTACGTTTTTGCAGCGATTCGGACCGCCTCCGCTGTGGTTGGGTGGTATAGGCCATTCCGGTGAACAAGGTGGTTCTGCCTCGAGTTCTAGTGTGCCTGTTGTGATTAGGGATGGCTCGGAGGTTTGGGTTACTTTTCTGGGTCGCTGTTGGGCAATTTTGGTGGGGTTCTTTTATGGACCTGCCCGAGAGTGGACCGTTTTGAGTATGGCCTCCAGAGCGCTTCGAGGAGACTCCGTTTTGGGGTTGTTGCGACAGCTCAACGATACGGGGGCTCCATTGGGTACTTGGACTCCTTCTGCGGAAGTGGTTTTTGAGTATGACTGTTCTGAGAGGGGCTGGAGGCCCATGCCAGGAACTAGTCAGATTGGGGGCAGTTCAGCAGCCCAAGGGTCTTCGGATTTCACTTCGCAGATTGGGGGGAGTTCAGCAGCCCAGGGGTCTTCGGATTTCACTTCGCAGATTGAGGGGAGTTCAACAGCCCAGGGGTCTTCGGATTTCAATTCGCAGATTGGGGGGAGTTCAGCAGCCCAGGGGTCTTCGGATTTCACTCAGCAGATTGGGGGGAGTTCGGGTCCGCAGGAGGGTTCAGGTGTTAGTCGAGATTTTGCCGGTCGAGGGTCGTGGGAAGCCGGATATCTAGTCAGGTAGGAGAGGATGTTCCCGTTCCGAATTTTCAAGTAGGTGGTAGTTCGTCTTCTCATGGCATGCAGGTAGCCCCGTTTGAGCAGGAGGATTTGTACTATGAAGATTATCTACCTCTAGAGGGTTCCCTGGAAGCTTGGCCGATGGTTGGAACTTGGATTCGGGTTCATTTCGTGTTGCAGCTATTCTCGAGTGTTGGAGGGGTTCTACTGTCGATGCTTGGTTTGCGGTCTCGATGTTGGCTGGCGGTGCGAGCAGCTTCGAGTGCAGTGCGCTTTGGGCTCTACGGAGCCGTGGCGGATCAGCTTCGGATGGGGCCAGATGCTTTAAGGCATCAGGGTGCTATGTGACTTGAGTCGGTAGAGCGTTTCATCCTAGAGGGCCCTTCTCCCATTCCGCTGAATTCCGAAGCTGCGGTGCCTGAGACAGGAGCTCTTGCATTTCCACACACGATGTGGGCTCCGGGGGTCCAAGTGCATTATCTCTGGAGTGTGTTTATGCTGACTGGATGGTTGGTGTTGGATTTCTTGGGGGATCGTGTAAGTTCTCATGGTTCTTTGAGGGCAACTGCTCCGGGGTTCAGAAGTAGTGCTACTATGGCCTTGTCCGTGTGGCTGCGCCGTACACACCATCTGTATGTAGCGGCTACTGCGGATACCTTCGATGCAGCCACGGCATATTGGCAGAGTGGGGAAATTCGTTTCCCTTTTGCAGAGAGACCTGTGCCCGAGGGAGCTGAGGGTCCGATGCTGGGTTCGTCTTCCGAGACTGAGGACTCAGAAGAGTCAACTACGGAGCCGTCTGTGGTATCTTTAAGTGGAGAGGGCAGTCTTGGGGAAGGAGTAGAGGATCAAGGTATGGTAGCCTCTCTAGAACAACCTCTGCCCTCACCGGGTAACGTCGGGATAGGAACTTCTTATGAGGCAGGTGAGGAGGTGTTGTGGTGTACTTATGTTGATGATACTGTGCCTGTTCCGCTACCAGGGTGGAGTGTTTCGGAGGTTCAGACGGTGGTAGAGGGATTAAACACCGGAGATTGGACGGCATTTCAGCAGATGTTGAATCAGCAAGCAGAGGCTCCCGGGGATGAGGGGTCAGAGTTACCAAGTAGCAGTTCGGAGGTTCCTAGGCGGCGTAGAAGAATCTTCAGATGGGGTGTTCCACAGCCGTGTGGGTTAGTTCTTCTGTTGGTGCTTTGGTTTTTGTGGGGTTGCGTCAAGGCAGTTGCTGCGGTTTCAGATAAGCCTAGAGGCCCTCGGGAAAACCAGTGCATCCCTGAAGACCTGTCAACCGCGCTAGTCCCCAGCCCGTTATCTCAGGATGTGAGCCTCCCCTGGGAAGAGGGCTGTGATGGTTCCGTGTTGTGGGAAACTAGCAAGGTGTTTCTGACCCTGTTGATCTGGGAAATTGCCAAAGCAACCTATTTCGGGTGCCGGGCGCGAAGGGCCTGGAGGGAAGAGAAAAGTGTACAGACGCAAGACCAAGAGGACATTGTCATGCCCTTGGGGGCACATATTCCGAATAGGTCAAGGATCCTCTACAGCTTGTGGCGAGTCGGGCATCGGGTGGACATTTCTGTGTACTCGGATCGGGTTAGGGTCGAGTTTGAGGGTTTAGTAGGTGCCTGGCTTACTCGAGTTGAAGAAGGATATATTTCGTCTGGTTCCTCTTCGAGTGGATAGATAGTCCCGAAATAGGAGAAGTAAGTCAATAAGCGTAGTCGAACTCGAGGAATATCTTACGTCCTTTTGTCTCAGGAGCAGTCTTGAGTCTAGAAAAAAGGGAGAAGGCCGAGGTGGGTTTCCACCAATCTGAAGGATTGGGCTTTTAGAACAACCAGTAGCGTTGTGGAACCTCGCCTCTGGACTTCCCCCTGTTAGCGTTTACAAGGAAGATCGCCGGGGACCCATTTGCTTCCTCAAAGAGGACTTCACAACAACGACCGTGTAGTTGCGAGTGTGGTCTGCAATCTGGTTTTTGATCTTTCGAGCGTGCGTTTAAAAGGTCAGTACCCTCCGGAGGGATGCCATTGTCAGGTCACCTCGATACTTCTAGCCGATAAGGTGTGTGGCTACATTTGGTGTAACTCTCTATCACCTGGCACTTGGAGTGCCCGGTGAGGGGTTCACTTCCATTCTATCTTTAATTACTTTGGTTGTTGGTTAACCTCACGTACTAACGCCTTACAGTAAGTCTTTTCTCAGCCAATTTTCCCCAAGTGGCACTATGGCAGGTAGAGTTGCAACCTTCATCTAGTGCGCCCCATACGTGAGTCTCTGAAGGATCCCACATATCCTCAAGAGGCAGGTTGTCTATGCGCACAAGATCACTACCTGAAGCTGAACCTGCACCTGCAATATTCTTCGGGAAAACCTTGGGTTGGCCGTTGCCCTTCCCCTTAGCCTTAGCCTTAGAGAGGGCCTTGGGCTGCTCAGGTGGAGGCCTAGATTCCGAAGCTGGGGCTCCCCTACCTTTACCTCGCTTAATCCAGTGGAGGCACTGGCCCTGGAGGGTCCAGTGAAGCGGTTCGGCCTTGTGACGCCAGGGTCACGAGGTGCCTCCTCAGCCTGCAGGTAGGCTTGAGCGGCGTCTACCTCCCATACGATCGACCTATCTACGAAACCTCCCTTTGGGTTTTCCTTAGGGACAGGATTAGGGGCCTTAGGGATATTTTGATTTTGGCTCGACGAAGAGGCTTCAGCATTCCACAGTGCCCTGATGTACTCAGGTCCTGCTCGGGCGCAGGCCTGTTCGTATTCCTCCTCAGGGCGCTACCGATCTAACTCCCGTCTTCTGGCGAAGGCCTCGGCCAGAATCTGTTCACGCCGACGCCGCCATGCGTCGTGTCGGGCGACGTTTTGGAGATCCCGATCATGATCGGTAGGTTCCTGCCAGTGAGGAATTGCCTCCGTACCTTGGCGTTAACGCGTCTGAAATTCCAATTGCTGGATTTCGCGCCCAGGTACGTGCCGGACTTGGAGATAGTTCCGGGGAGCGGGGAGCGGATCCCGAAACCGGGTCCGTGACGCTGTCGGCTTCTTCGTCGTACAGCAATTGCTGGCGCGCCTGTTCGAACGCTGCGTCCAGCTCTTGCTGGGCAAAATAGTCGTCCAACTCCTCTACGTTGTTAGAGCCTGGGGCGCCGTCGTCTGACGAGTCGCCCGGAAACGAGTCGCGCAGTTCTGCATCGGCCCTGAAGCTTTCCAACAGAATAGCTTCTTGATAGTCGCGCTCGAAGTCCGGGTCGCGACTGCCACGAAGTTATCGATAAGGGATCCGAT